GGGGCAAACACATTCCTATGGATGACCCCTGTGGATCATCCACAGTGGTGATGGGCACAGGCAAGGGCACAGGCTCAGAAACTGCTTTTTGCTGCTTGCAACCCTGCCCATGGAAATGGCGTGATCCTCGGGTGATGCTCCCAGGTGTGAGAGGGCAGGGGAATGTCACCATTCTGCACAGCAGACATCCATCCTGAGGATGATGGTGGGTTGATGGTGGGTGTTTCCCTCGAGGAATGCTTTTCCATGAGGGAAAGAGGACTGTGTCATCCCTGAAAAGCAGGAAAACTCCCATGCATTCGCCAAGTGGAAGAAATGCTTCTTGCCAAAGAGTGAGTTCCTTCCTCTGTCCTTGGACCGTGTTCCTGTGCTGATTTTTTTTGCCCGTGAGACTATTTATACTTAATGATAATTTCAGGCTCCGGTGGCCTGCAAGGATGAGGGCTGTGCCAAGCTCTGAATTTCATCAGCACCCACATTAGAGCAGCACCCAGCATTCGATGGTGCACGTGCGCAGTCAAACAAGGGGGAAAACACAAGGTGGGCAATGTAAATAGGCAACAGAATTCCCTCTCTGCTTGTTTGCAGTTGCACCAGGTGCTGTGCCCCACCAGACTGGACCCCAAGACATCAAATTTTGGGATGTGCTGGGGCTTGCATTGGCCTGCCCCATCCTGGCTGTCCCTGAGAAGCTGTGACCCTAATGGAAGTGGGAGCTCTGGCTATGGCATGGGAATAGCGGGCTGCTTGCAGTATGAGACCGTGGGTAAAGAATTGTGGCAGGGCGGAGGGAAGCCACATCAATGTGCAATGAAATCAGGTGATTAATTAGGCGCAGGGCTGGAGCCAAAATAAAATGTGGTGTTCAAGGGGAGGAACCACAAACTGATAAAGACAAAGCTAGGCATCCTTTATAAGGAAACCAATAACCCTTACAATATTAAATGCTGCTGCTCAACTCCACGATGATAAATCCTCAAGCACAAGCAAACACACTGAGCCGCTGCTGCAGCTGGACTTGAGCGGGGCGGCTGTCTGCACACAGATGGGGAGGCAGAAAGCTGGGGAAGCTTCTCCTGCATCGAGGTGAAGAAGCAGCCTGGTCCACATGCAGCTCAGCTCTTTCTACACAGCCTCTGGCCAGCAAAGCAATTAAACTGTCGCCGTAATTTGGGGTGGGAGGGGGGGGGAAGGAATTGTAACTCGGCTTTGAGTTACCCATGTTGGTGCTTTGTCCTACAAAGGGCTGTAGCCCCTCCGGTCATGGATGACAGCAGTAAAACCTCTCCATCGGCTCTGCTAAACAGGGAGGTCAGACTGGGCTGTCCCACAGCGGCGAAGGGATGGCCCAAGGATAGAGGAGGAGGTCTTCCTCCCAAGCCCTGATGATTTTGTGACATCTCTGCTAAACAAGGCATGTGGGAGAGGTCCCAGGAGGCCCTCCGGGGGCAATGTGGCTGTGTGGGTGCTTTGCCCTGGCCATGGGCTCGACTCGCAGCCACAGAACTGGGATGCTTGAGGCACCCCTGGGCCTCAACACCGCTGCAAAAATGCAAATACTGCCTTCTTGCAGGTGTCAGCTGTCTCTTTCACGTGGTTCTGAAAACATCCCCCAACACATTTTGATTGCTACCTAAGAAAAAGGGCTGGCATATTTCAAACGCACCTGTATTTGCATGGTATTTTACCAGGTGTGCTTAGCTGGTGTGGCAAAAAGTACCCCTGCAGTGTGGAGAAAGTCGTCTTGTGTTTTCCCTTTCCTTGTTGATGAAAGCTTTTTCTAGCTGGGAGAGGACATTTTGGCACTGTTTGTTTTCTCACTGTTTCCCTCCTAACAGTTTTATTAATAAAACAAAATTGGCGAAGATCCTTGGCAGGTTTATGAATGCTGTCACTTGACAGTAAAAGCCATGCGATACGGATTTGTTTTGCATGGTATCTTGTGATTTGCTTTGTCTGTGGCTTTAGTCAGTGGTAATTGATTTGATATTAATACTGATTAGTAAAAATAACAGTATGTTCCTAACACCTGAGCATGGAGAAAGATATCAGCGTGGATAATTTCTATATGTGTGCAGAGGGATTTGCTGTGGCCAGCAGAATATAAAGCAAGAAAGGGGCTTCTTGGCCGTAACATGCTCATAGGGCAACCCCTGGGGTCTAAAGCCAGCAATATTTTCTGCCTGGAACAACTATTCTGTTCCAGGAACAGAACAGGACACCCAGATGATATGGCTCCAGCCATGGCAGAGAGGCAACCAGGCTCCGCAGAGCCCAGACACCCGTATCATTTCACCTCATCTCAGCTGCTGGGCACTCTGAGAGCAGTTGCAGCATTGCTTGATGTACGGGGCCCCTTCCCCATCAGTGCTGCAAGGAGTAAGTTGCATTTTCTGGGTTTTACCCCGTCTCTCTTTTTTTTTTTTTTTTTCTGGTTGGCTCTCAAGAAGTCCAGGGAGCTCTTCAGTGGCTCCAGAGATGAAGCATCTTTGTTTTTTCCAGTACCTCTAAGTGGTAATGCTCTGATCCAGCTGTGTTCTGCCTGAGACTTTTTAAAAAGCAGTAACACAATATGAATAAAAGGTTTTCATTAGCAGCGCCAGATGATGCCCACTTCTCTCAGACAGACCATGCTTCCCTCCCAGGGTGGCTGTCACACAGGCTGCTGTTACCTCTGCATTTGGGCTTTGCTGTGCACTCACAACTGGGAGTCTGCAGTACAAGCACAAAAGAAGTAACTTCTGCTGTTGTAGACTCGATGGGCTTGGTTTGCAGGTGTGTCTGAGGGAAAAAAAATTAAAAAATTAAAATAAAATAAAAATGGAGGTGATTGGCATCTCCTGGACTTGCTTCATTAGATTACCAGGGGAGGTGCACCACTAGACTTTCTGTTCACAACCAGAGGATTGGTGGGAGATGTGGTGGTTGGGAGCTGTCTTGGGCAGAGTGACCACGAAATGGTCAAGTTCACTATTCTTGGTAAAGTAAGGAGAGGGATCAGTAAAACTACTATCTGGGACTGTTGCAGGCCAGCTGTTCAGGACACAGGTTGGCAGAGTCTCTTGGGAGGAAGTCCTGAAGGGCAGAGGAGTCCACTCTTTAAGAAGGAAATAGTAAAGGCTTAGGAACAGACCATCACTGCAAGCAAACATGAGCCGTGCAGGTGGCAGCTGCGCGGCGAGGCCCGGCCCCTGTGTCACGACGGTCGGTCTTCATCTTGGTGCTGTGCTCGCACGTGGTGTGAACGCTGACCGGCTGCGTTGTGCGTGTCATTAGCTGCCTGCAGGGAATTACAGCTGGGGCTTGTCCAAACAGCCTGGGCAACTCGATGGCTGTCAGAGCTGAAATGTGAATGCCCCAGCTGCCCCAGCTGTGCACTGCTCTAAAGGCTGAAACCCACAGGACTCTGCCTGCATTGCTGAGCCTGAAAACCAGCCAAACAAGGCTCATTTTGAGCCCCCCAGAGACAGCTGATGACTTCATCTCCACATTGGGCCCCCAAACCAGTGCACAGAGACTGGTGTTGAGCTACAGCGTGCAACATTTCACCTCTGTTTTCCTGCCCCAGCCCAGTTTCCCCAGCTGCCTTCCCAGCCGCCTTCAGCTGCCCCCGTTTTGCTTTTCTTTCTGCCCCAGGCCGTGTTTGTGTAGTCCGTAGGTTCGTGCCCGCGCCAATAGGCACACCGAGTCAGAATCCACACGAAGGCCCTTTAATTCAATAAGGAATCCTATAACTCTGCAGAGTCAGGTGCTTGGCGATCTTTCTCAAAGCAAGCACGCCTCTGACTCCAATCACCATAATCTGTACGCAGCAAACTTGTGAAAACCCTCTCTTTGGTTACTTTTGATTGGCTATCTTAGCTCACCTAAGCTATCTCCACTGAGTTTGCTCATGACAAAGGAGCAGCGGTGGAGGGAGGGACACCAAATCCCACATTAACATATGTTAATGCCCCTTTACGAGCAAAAGGTAACTCTAGTCAGAAAACCAGTCTGGAGCTGGCTTTCTCCTTCTTCTTTTGACCCTTTTATCCCTTACCTTCCTTGCTTCTGCTAGCTCAAGGCTACCTGTCTCTTTCTTTCGGCTGAAAGACTACACAAGCTACAGGCCTCCCAATTTTCTTCAAGGTTTTCTTGTTTCTCCCAGCCTTGTGACTACATTTGGACATGGATGGGGGGGATCAGAGTACTGGTGCTTTGGCCATGACCCTCCCCATCCCACCAGTGCTGAGAGGCTTGCACAGGCAGCGCTGCCCGGCCCCAGCTCCCACCAACACCACCCTGGGAAGGACCTGGTCTGCACCCGCTGTGCTCTCTGGACTTTTATTCAGGCCTCTACAAGCTCGGGGATGTCTTCTGTGTCCCCCGAGAGATCTTCTGCATGCTCTGGGATGTCTTCAGCATGCGTTGTGCTCTCTTGGTGCTCCACGCTGGCTTCTGTAGTGTGGGGAAGAAGAGGCAGTGTCAAGATATGGCCCCTGGCCGTGCCCTCCTGGGCACCGTAGGGAAGGCGGCTGGGGCAGCGCTTGGCAGCCCTTGGGCCGCCCCGGTGGGAGCGGAGCAGAGAGCTCGGTCCCGGCTCTCACCAAGGACGTGGAGAGTGGCATCTGTGAAGCGCGTCTCCTGTGGTGACTCCTGCTGGTGCTTCAGTTTCTTCAGCAGCTCGGGAGCAGCTGTCTCCTGGGGGAGAGCAGGGAGGTGTGAATTCTGCTTGGGCCACAGAGGCCTCGTTGCCGAGCCCTCCGACTCCCATGGCCCCAGCATCCCCCCGGGACAGGGCTCACTCACCAGGTAAGATTCCACATTGCGCTGCAGCTCTGCCCCACTGCACCTGAAGGAATTCATGACGACCCCCTGCAGCCCATTTGGCTCAACAAAAGGAGCACAGCTGTAGAGGGCTGTCTTGCAAGCCTGGAAAAGAGCATTGTGCTTGGTCATTCCTTCTCCTATGCCCGGGAGGCAGCTCCTCAGGGAGCCTTTCTGTGGGATTGCAAAGAAGCTCAGGGGGTCCTTACGGTGGATACTGCACAGCTGGGGTCCTGGAGGTGCAGGAAGAGTCTGCCCAACGTCTGCTCCACTTCTGCTCTGAAGAACGTGGTGAGATCGCCCTTGGCGCCAGCAGCCAGGGCCGCGTAGAGATGGAAGGCCGCAAAACGAAGCTCCTTTTGCTCCTGCAACCCAGAAAGCCATCTGTGAGCTGGGTTATGAAGGTACCTCCTCCCAGCCTGCTGGCCCCAGCAGCTGGTTGCCTGCAGGAGCACCTCCACGCAGCACAGGCAGGCCCCCGCCCACCCCACGCCCCTCGGACAAGTGGCAGAAAAGTAGGTTCACTCACGGCATCGAAGAACTTCCTGGTGGAGCGGGCGATGCTTTTGAAGGCCTTGCCCGAGCCCTTCGCCGTCTGCTTTGCAAATATTTCTTCCAGGGCCAACATGCTCTCCGCAGCCACCCCAGGACAGTCCACCTTCTCCATTTCACGCCCCAGTGCTTTCACGATCTTCCTCTTGTGCCTTCGAAACTGCAAAGCCAAAGATATGCACAAGCTGCTCGCGGCTGCTGCCCGCAATGCCCACCCTTTCTCCCCACTGCTGTTTCGCAAGGGGGTGCAGCTGCGGCACAACCCCGTGACGAACGGCACTGGCACGTTTGGCAAGAGGTTTCCCCGCAGGCTGCGTGCTGAGCTTGGAGAGCAGCCTGGCTGTTGGGAAGCCCCCATCTGCCTGTGCTGCTCTGCCCCAGGCTCCCCAGCTGCCCTGCAGCCCTGCCCGGCTCTCTGCTGGGGGGCTGCAGCCAGAGCAGAGGGAAGTGCACCTCACCTTCTTGGGCAAGCCACTGACAGCACTGCCCAGGCCTCTCGCTGCCATCTGCTTCACAGCACGGCTCGGACTCTTCAGCTTCTCCAGGAAGACCCACACCAGGGGCTTCAGGAGATGCTTCCCCTCAGCTGGCGGGTCCTTCACCACCTACAAGACAGCCAAAGCTCTGTCAGTGCCGAGAAGGGACCTGGGCCGGTCTCTTCCATGAAGAGACACCCCAAGCAGCAGTTTCTTTGGAAAAGCCCTCTGAGCCCGCCCTTCCCCACGCGCCGCCTTACCTCTGCGAATAAAGCCAGCGCCGTGAGTTGCAGGTTTTGCGAGGGGGAGTGCAGCCACAGCATGAAGCTGTTTATCAGCAAACGTGAGACGAGCTGGGCATGGAGCAGCACTCTGCACAGAGAGCACAAGCAGGTGACGTGGTCAGGTGGGAAGGCCCCGGGCCGCGGCCCGAAACGTCCCCTGCTGCGGTGCAGGCGCTGCCCTGCCTCCCAGGAGAGCTCCCCAGGCACATGGGAAGGGTCCTGCGGCTGCTTCCCGGGGGGAGGTGAGATGCAGCACTGGGCTCTCACCTGGTCAGGAGCTGCACGGCGTTGCAGTGCCACTGAGGCACGTCCAGGGACGGCCACACTCGATGATTCCAGAGCACCCGCTGCCACCTCTCGTCCAGGAGTCTTCCCAGCACTTGTTCCAGAGCAGCGCTGTAGGGTCTGGCGAACGAAAACCCACAGAAAACCCTCAGAAATTTCCACACCTGGGAAACAGGGCAGCCCTTTGGCTCCCTCAGCATCACGAACAAATGTGCCTGGCTGGGGAACTGAAGCCCCCCGTTCTCTGCCCCTGCTGCTCCTTACCCGCACACCAGCTCCTCTTCTTCCGTTTCCTTGAAGATTTCTGCCGGAAGACTCAGGGGGGGAAACAGCACCAGTGTTCCCAGTTCAATGCTGACCCGCTTCAGGAGGGCGAAAAAGAGGCAAAGAAGCACGTCCCGGGTTTCCCTCGTGGTCAGCAGAGCAGACATCACCTCACAGATGGCACAGAGGAGCTGCAGGAAAATGTGAGCCAAAACAACCTGTTAAACACCGCCTTTCCCACCAGCCCGGTGGTGCCCCTGTCCCCCTGGGGGACTCTTCCTGCCTGCAAGTCTCACACCTTGGGGTGACCCCCAACTCCCTCACCCTGCTGAGCTAAGTGAGAAAGCAGGTGGGAAGCTGTAGAGATGCTCCTGCCGACGAGCATACCTTGAAAGGATCCAGCGGTTGAGCAGCAACCGTGAGCCGACACCTGGCTTCAGATGCCTCGTTCAGTCTCCAAATTAAGTGATACAGCACCTTAGGCCCGAGGTCGCTGCTGCCCAGGCTCCTCCAGAGCTGCACCACGTCTCTGCAAGCAAACAGACGTTCACCTGTGAGCCCTGTCCTCTGGGACCCCTGGTGCCCTCCCTCCCCAGAGGCCAAACGCTCTCCTCGCCAGCAGCAGGGCACACGATGCCTGCTTCCCCAGAGACATGAGCGCCCGATCTCGCAGAGCTCAGGCTTCTGGGGGAGGAATGGGACCTGCTGCTTCCCTGGATCCCCCCACTGCAGGCAAGCCGTGGGGTTGCTGTTTGGTGGCCACGGAGGGGCAAGGGGGAGCGCACATACCTCTCTGAGGGCGATTCTGTCTGGAGGAGGGTGTCCACCACAGCCTGGCTGCGGAAGCCGGCCAGGAGACAGAGTGCCTTGAAGAAGAGGTCCTTGAGGGGGCTCTGCTGCACGGTGCGCCTGGCCTCCCACAGGATCTTCATGAATTCAGGCACCTGCAAGGAAAGGGGCGAGAGGGAACACTTCAGCGTATCCTTTGCCTGTGCGGTCCCCTCAGCCCCGCGCTCGGGCTGCGTTTCTTCAGTCCACACGAGGCGCAGCACGACAGCCAGCAGAGAAACGTCAAGGCCGAGGGGAACAAGTGTCTCCCGTACCTCTGGGTATATTTCGTTTCCGCGTGTCTCCAGGAATGCGATCAGCCAGTCGCCAGCTGCTCGTGCACGCTCCTGGTTAGTGCACGAGAAGGTCTTCGTGATGGAGTCCATGAAGCTCCTGGCCTGTCCCTGGGGGAGGTACTGGCAAACATCCTGGAGAGAGAGGAGAGACTGTCACGGCTCTGCTCCAGCTCTTTCGGACAGAAAGGAGACGCGAGGGGCCTCTGAGCTCCGCAGCTCACTGGTCATTGAGAGGGCACTCGGGGCACACTCCTCTGTGCACACGCTGTTTTTCGTACTTCCTGCAGCGGAGAGGCTTAGAACCATCTCCTCTCGTCTTGTTTCCCTGCGTGCAAAACACACCTCCTGACAAAGGCACTGGGACCCCACCCCACTCTCTGGAGCCAGTTACCTTCGCTATTTCGGCACGGTCCTCACGCAGAGGCCCGTCCTCCACGGTGTCCAGCCTCTCACACAGATCCCTGATGCCCTGATGCAAGTGGGGCACTTGGAGCACCACTCTCCGAGCCCTCGCCAGGCCACAAGCTGTGAGAGAAGGGAGTCCTGGTTAGGGGAACTGAATCTCTGGGCCCAGACACGCACAGAGGGGGATGGGGAGCAGTGGCCTCGCTGGGCAGGGAAGGAAGAGAAGATGGGGCTGCTGGGGGCCAGGAAGAACCCGCTTTCCTCACCTTGGATCCGGAGAAGGCAGCTGAGGCAGGCCCCTGCCCTCCGCCGGGACGCGGCCTGGGAGTCGCTCAGCAGAGGCCCCAGCACACCGAGCAAGGAGCCGAAGCCCGAGCAGGCGAGTTCCCTCTGTGGGGGCGAGAGGCAGGAGGAAGGTCGCAGGCAGCCCAGTGCCTGCTCGCCTCCCCGGGCCGTGGCCAGCAGGGAGAGGGAATGGGGCACGCGGGGCTCGTACTCACCGAGCACTTGAAGACCTCTTCGTAAGTGCCCAGCAGCTGGGCGCAGAGCTGCAGGGCCCTCCCTTGCTGCCACGCGTTCCTTGAGGTGAGTTGGTGCAGCAAGACCTGGGGTGGAGCAGACGTGTCTCGTGACGGGCGTCCTTCTTTCTCCCCCCGCCACCCCTCTCTGCCTCCCTCCCTCCTCTCCTGGCCCCTGCCCTGGGGCTCCGCGTGGCCCCAGCCCCGCCAAGCACCGGCACTGCCACCCCCCTGCCCTCCCCCAGGAGCCGTTTCCCCACCGGCATCTCCCTGTGCCAGCCTGGCTCTTGGCTCTGCCTCCCGCGGGGCCCGTTCCTTTGCCTGCCCTGGCATCGCAGCAGGGAACGGATCCCCCTCGGAGCATCCCCGAAGGCCCCAGCTCTGCCCCACGGCTACTCACCGAGACCATGTCCGCGAAGGCGCGGGAGGTGCCTTCCGCTTGGAGGAAGGCTGACATCAGCTGGCCCAGAGCTTCCTCACACGACGCTTGCAGAGGCTGAAAGCGGGAAAGGAGGACTGAGGTTCAGCACCGCGGCAGCTGCCAGAGCACAGGGAGCGCTGAGGTGCGATCCCGACGGAGAGGTGTGCAGGGAAGGGCTGGCAGGTACCTGCAGCTCTGTGTCCGCAGGAGGGCACGACAGGACTCTCCAGCAGCACACGGCCACCTGGGAGCACCTCTTCTCCCAGTCCACGCGAGGCTCCAGCTTGCTGGATGCAGAAAAAGGGGGAGAAAACAGTAAAACAGTGAGGGGCTTTACCAGCCGTCTCCAGAGTGGCCCAAACGCCAGCTGGGTTTGAGCCCCAGAGCCGGCCCCCCCAGCCTGGGGCACAGAGCTCACCTCAACTGCTCCAGCAGCCGAAGCACCTTGAGATGCACTCGGGACACAGGGCTGTCGCAGCCATCCTCCCTCATCAGGTCCTGCAAGGCCCAGAGAGACGCACTCAGGGTGGGCAGGGGCACGGAGGGGCCCGCACCAGCCCCTTCATCCCCACGGCCACCACGGAGCCACCGAGTGCCAGCGCCCCAGGGCCCAGCAGCTGGGGACGAGGAGCTGGGGGGTGGCCGCTGGAGACCTCCGGGAAAAGCTGCCTCCCCTGCGGGCAGCCCCAGCTCCAGGCACTCACCAGCAGGACGTTCAGCACCTCCGGCTTCCTGCAGAGCCTGAATCTCTGCTTGGTGTCCACAACCTGGATGGCACGGGTGACCTCCTGGATACTGTTCACCAGGGCGAGCTTGTGCTGCAGCTCCTGAGACCGGAGAGAGAAAAACACCAGTTGAACTGCTTGGAGAGCTGGGAGAGGAGCACGGGCGAGGGCTTCTTCGGGGCTGGGGCTGGACGTTCAGGACAAAGCACGCAGGGGACGCTCAGAAAGAGGCCGTCCATCTCGGCACGTGGGGGCACCCAGCCCTCCCTGCTCCTTCCTCTGTGCCCCACGCCCCTACCTTTGTTCTGCAGGCATGGAAGAGCTCCAGGATGTTGGCCAGGATGCATTTCTCCACGCAGTCCAGCAGTTCTGCCTTGGGCGCACGCAGTGCAATCTTGCCATAGGTAAGCATGACTGCAGCCCGTGTGGCCTGAAGTCTCCGCTCCCTGTCCGGCAGCTGTGTTGACAAAGATGCCCCGAGATGTCAGTCCGATGCCCTGCTGTGCCCCGGGCCGCCGCCAATTTGTGGGGCTGGGGAGCGGGGCTGTGAGGGAGCTGTCTGGCTCGGCTGTGCAGGGCCGTGGAAAAGCATCTGAAGGAGTTTGTCCCGGTCCTGCCCTGAGGCGAGCAGCCCGTGCCCGTCAGGGGTGTGCTGGCCGTGGAAGGCTTGCCCGTGGCCCCCAGGCTAGGGGCAGAGCCAGCCACAGCTCACAGGGCTCCTGGCCCTCAGCTTTCTGCAGGGGGCAGGCGTCTTAGGTAGCTCTGCCGGGAGGGACAAGTGCAACGTGGGTGCCACGACTCGGCCACCACCGTTCGGGAAGTGAAAAGAGGGCAAGAGAAGGCCGAACACTCAAAGCCTGCAGCCATTACCCTTTGCCGTCTGCCGAATTTGATGAGCGCCTTGCGGACCATGCTCATTGCATCCAGGGCCACGTAGAAGTGGCGCTCAGCAGCGTAGGAGACCACGGAAGCTATTCCCTGCAATGACGGAGAAATGGGAGTGAGCTCTGGCACGCGTACGACGGCAAGGCAGGACATTGCCCGAGGGAAACGGCAGCTCCCAGGAAATGGAAAAGGTCCGGAGCAGGGACATGGGGACACTGGGCAGAGCGGGGGCAGGAGAGGGAGAGGAACCTTCACCTGTTTGTCACACGGCCTGGTGGCATCCGTTTCTTTCAAGTATTTCAGCAGCTGCCCTTGGACGTGGGTGAGCCGCCGACAAGAGGCCAGCACCGTGCCGAGAGCCCGGTACAGGAACTCCTGCAAGAGAAGAGCCCGAGCCCGAGCCGTGGTAGCGGAGGGAAGCACCTTTGGGGCGAGGGCAGGGGGAGCGGTGCCGACAGCCCGCACGGGAACGCGCTCCTTCAGCCCCAGCCCCGGAGCCGGGTGCCCCGGGCTGTGCTGCCAGGAGGGCGCAGGCAGGGAACAAACCTTGTCCTCCTCGCTGCTGGAGGAGCTGCTCAGCTGCTGGCTCAGCTCCCGGCTCAGGCACACGATCCATGGCTGGTCCTCCTGCATCTCCTCCGCTGACTCCGTCAGGAACTGGGGGGGAACACGACAGGAGGCCAATGTTGTCTCGCCCTTTGCCCGGGCCTTGCACAGGAGCGGCGGGGGCACAACTGCCCGCAGCCTCACCCCCGGGGATGCTGTACCTTAAGCAGATAGCACTGCCACTCTTCGGAGTCCAGGGAGCCCTCTGGATGCTCTGCAAAGCAAGAGGAAGCAAAATCCCTCGCTGTCACTTGAGCCAGCACCAGGGAAGAGTTCCGCGCTCTCCTTCCCTGGGAGCCCAGACCCCCACAAGTCCCAGGCTTGACAGGGCCTCAGACTGCCTGCACCACAGCTCTTGCCAGGCTGCAGACCCCAGGGGCAAGCCGATCCCAGCAGATCCCAGCCTCCACGCTGGCTGCCCGGAAGGGGGACGGCAGCGGTTCCCCTCCGCCGTGCTGGGAGGGAGGCTCTTTTCCTGCCCCCTCCAGCTCTCCTGAGCCCGGCGCTCCACACTAGCACCTTACCTTCCAGGTACTGCAGCATGCGGGGGATGCGCATGGGCCACAGGTCCCTCAGGGATCTGTGGATCCTGCTCTGCAGGGCCTGCAGCAGCTGTAGGGCAGCGGCCCCGCATTCTCCGCACCCAGCAGAAGCCGCCACCACCTAGGTGAGGACAGAGAGAGACGGGCTCACTCCTTCCGCCGGGGACGCGGCTTCTCCCACCAGGGAGCTCGACTCCAAAAAGCAAAAGCAGCCCTGCCCCAGCACCTCCCCCTGCCCCTGGCCAGAAAAGCTCTTTCCCCGCGGCCCCGCTACTCACCAGCAGCTGAACCAGGAGCGCCTGTGGCGTGGGCGTCTTGTCTGCAAGGAGGAAGAAAGGCAGGGTGAGCCCCTGAGCACCTCGCCCCCAGCCCCTCGCACCTTCGACGCCCCCATGCAGCTGGGAGGGAGCCCCTGGCCGAGCCCGGCACACGTTGCTGGGGCACTTTCTGCTCTCACCTTGCCCCTGGGCAGCATCAGGCTTCTCGCTGTCCTCTTGCCCTTCTGTTTGCTTCTGTCTCTCGATCACGGCTTGGAGACAGCGGGACAGCGGGAGCAGCAGGCCGCAGTACTGGGCCGGCACCATGTACTGCAGGAGCCGTGGCCACAAGAGCTGCAGAGGAAGAGGAGGCAGTTTGGCACGTCAGCATGCCCATCGCGGCTCGGAGAGGGAAAGGACGGCTTTCCCCAAAAGGGGCAGGCGAGGGCTGGCCAAAACACCCTGCAGGTGCACAGCGGCTGCAGCAGCGGGGAGCAGGACCACTTACTTGGGTCATGCCTCCAACGGAGACATCCAGAGACTCCAGGACATCTATGCACTGGGCCCGAAGGTCTCTTTCTTCTTGGAGGTCTTCTACTGCCTGCAAGACAGCGTTGGGAAACCCCCCGTTACTCCCAGCTCCTGCCTCAGGAGGCTCTGTGGAGGAGGAGGATGGCCAGGCCCCACGTCCCAGCCCCAGCTCGGGAGCAGCGAGCGCTGCACTGAGGGAGCTCTCGGCACAGCCTGGGCACGGGACCGAGCCGCGGGTGTCCCGCTCTGTCCTTACCAGTCTGTCCGAGGCCCGCCTGAACTCGACAAAGATGTGCGCCACCGCTTCCCACGCCAAGCAGCTCGGGATGCTGACGCTGAGCAGGTCCCTGATGAAACCCAGGAGCGCGCTCCTCACCTGCCAAGGGGACGCTGTGGTTACGGTCTGCCCCGCCAGCAGCCACAGGGAAGCCACCTTCGCCTGGGGCAGCCCCCGCAGCCCATGGAGAGGCACCGAGCGCGCAGGAGAAGCCTTCGCTGCCTGGGCTCGGGGCTCGGCTTTGTACAGCTCCACAACCTGCCGGCTCGGGGGGCTTGCCCTGCCCCACTGCTCTCGCTGTTCCTTCCCAAATGAGCTCACCTGGGTGCTGGCCTCAATGAACAAGGGCTGCACGGCCTCTACCATTAGGGGCAGCTTCTCTCTCACTGCAGGCTCTACAAGAGACACAGAGAGGTCCGCGTTCAGGCAGGGCTCAGATGGCAGAAGGGATCCCTCGAAGCTCCCAGGCTTCTCACGCACAAGCGGGACAGCACGGCAGGGCTGGGCTCTGACTGCAGGGGAAGCACTGGCGTCCCAGAAGGACTTTGTTTCTGCAGCTACTACTGCCTTGCCGGGCCTGAAAGCTCCGACAGCAGATAGCTTCAGCCCCCCGACTGCCCCAGGCCTGGCCTGTGGTACTGACCGTCAGTGCGTGCCACAGCTCCCAGCAGAGTCAGCGCTGTCCTGCGGGTGCCCTCGTCCTCGCTGCTCAGGTGGGACAGCAGGAACATGATTGTCTCCTCCGGGCAGATTCGAGCTGCGGGCAGGACACCACGTTTTGCGTGAATAGTCAGCAAAACCCCACGGCTGAGGTTCACAAGGAAGTTGCGAGCACGCGACGGGCATCGTCCCCTTCCCTCCCTTACCTTGAAGCACAATGCACTGCCTCAGTTCTTCTTTGTGGCCTGCGCTGTGCTGCCTGGCCTCCTCCACAATCTGTAGGAAAAAGGTCCATTTTAGAGACCGATCGCAGGCAGAGCAGCCATCAGAGGCTGCCTTTTGGGTCCCGGCACTCCAGAGGCCTCCTGCCAGGTGGCTGAGGGGGAAACGGCTGAAGGAACTGAGCTGCCCCTCGGGCCAGGATCGGGGTGCTCACAGCCTCGAGGCAGCTCCAGGAAGGTCCTGGTGGAAGGACGCCCTGCCCTGCCCTGCCCGCCCCGTCTGTGGCAATGCGGCCTGCAGGACCTGGGCCAGCGGCACAGGCACGGGCTCCCTTTACCTGGTGGTGCACAGCAGCAGCGATGGCGATGGCACGGAGCTTGTCCTGGGGGATGACAGCGTGAAGTTCCTCCAAGGTCGTCAGGAAATAACAGAGGCTCTACAAGAGAAGGGAGAGGACGAGCGGGTTAAAGGCACGTGGGAAGGAAGAAACCCAGCACGCCTGTGGCATGGGGAAGCCCTGCCCACAGCTGCACCAGACCCCGCGCAACGCCTCACCTCTATCACCCGGCAAGTCTCCTGGAGCTCCTGGTACCGCTGCAGGTGCCGGAAGACCTGCTTCCACACGTTGTCCTGGTGCTGTGCATCACGGAGGACGACGGCCATCATAGCAGCCACTGCTCCCAAGACGGCCTGCTTGTCCTGCAGAGGGAAGAGAGGCGAGATGCTCTGAGGGCTGTGCAGCACTCGGCGTCCCCCAGCACATGCCTGCCTTGCCCACAGGGGGCTTTCCCTTTCCCTTCTCTCCAGAGGAGAGACATCTCTGGCTCTCTCCAGAGGACAGCAAGCGTTCCCCTGCCAAAGGGCCAGCAGCTCTCACCTCCTCCTCCTCGTCACGGCCCAGCCAGTTTCCCACCGCGTGGCAGAACAGGTCGTACACCTGCTCGCAGAGCTGCGCCTCCCCGATGCGAGGGAAGGGGCACTGCTCCCAGGCATTGAAGTAAGCGTTGATCGCCCTCGACCACTGCTCCAGCACTGCACCACAAGAAAGGAGCTCGTCAAAGCCGGCAACAGGCAGCGTGCCCAGCTCCCTCGCCCACGCCCGCGTGGAGCAGTCCCTGGCTCGCCAGGCTTCGGCTCGGGACCGGCAAGTGCTGTGCTCCAGGCATCTGGACTAAACTACGGTGCCCCTTCTCCCCTCCTGCCCACTGCACCTCAGCCTCCTTCTCTACCTCCTCCTCCTCCTCCTCCTCCTCCTCGCAGGCCTCTTCCCCTCCAGCACTTAGCATTGCAGCCCCCGCCCTGCCCTTCCCAAATTTGCCCCCCAGCGCAGGACCACGCCGCCATCCGATCGGAGCGAGGCAGCGAGAGCCCGCCCGGCCCCTTCCCCTCTACTCACCACTGCAGATGGCGCGCAGGATCCGGCTGCTCTCCACGTGGCTCAGCACGGCGTGCAGAGCAGCGAGCGTCATTTGGGCGAAGGGGATGCACCGCAGGGCTGCAGAGAGAGGACGGGCAGAGGGACAGAGGGAGCCACGGTCAGCCAGAGCCAGAGCAGCACCGCGGGCAGGAGGGCTGGGGAGAAATCCCAGCTCCGGGCGAGGAGGTGCCACAAGCCCACAGCCCGCCGGCCCAAAATAGCCTTCAGGGAGGGGCAGGGGCCCTGCTCCTGGCCGTCACGGACCATCTCCCAGAGCACGAGGCCAAAGGGGCCATACCATAGCTGCTGGCCAGTTTGCTCAAGGTGCTGAGCACAAACTCCTGGCATGCTCCTCCCCTCATGCTCTTCAGGTGGCCCTGGAGCTCGGACATCACAAACTCGAAGTGGGAACGAGCCAGAGCCACCAGGACGTCACCAGCAGCTGCTGTCACTTCGGTCATCGCGCCCTGAAAAAGAGCCACAGCTGAAATGCTGCCCAGGAGAAAGCTGGGGAGAGGCGGGCTGCTCCGTTCGTCCTCCTAGAGAACAAGCTCACCTGGGCTGCCTTCATGTCTCCAGACACCTCTGCGAGCACTCGGTTGACAACGCCGCTCCGCAGACGGGTGTCATCTCCTTGCAAGACGTGCTCGAGGCGGCGGTAAGTCTCCGCTCGCTCACCCTAGGGAGAGACCACGACACCTCTTGCTTTGCCCTTATTCCCGGGCAGCTGCGAGCTGCTGCCCCTCACTCTGGAGAGCCCACAGGCAGCACCAGCGCGTCCTGTCCCAGCTTGCGTCCAGCTACACCAAGGAGCCGAGGGAGCAGCAGCCCTGGGAAGCGACCGAGCACCAGGCGCCAGCCTGGGACCACGGTGCAGGGCTAGGACAAGGACGGAGGCTTGGGCAGCTCCAGGCTGAGCTGCTGCGTGAAAGGAGGCGGCGCAGCAGCGTCAGCCCAGCAGCAGGACACCGGAGGGGCCAGCAGGCAAGACCCCTGCGTTGAGGGTGGAGGGGAGCCCTCAACCCCCCACGGCACAGCAGGATGTGCGCAGCTCACCTCTCTGTCTTGCAGCTTCTTCAACAAGGAAGTCACGACGGCGGCAGAGGTGGCAAGAGTCTCAGACCCCGTCTCTCTGCCACCGTTCCTGTGACGTCTTCGTCTAGTCCTGATCCCTACACAAGCAAAGGAAGATGGAAGGAAACAACCAGTTTGCATCAGCTTGGCTGGCTGTGGGGATTCGCACCAGGTGGGGCAGGCATCCTCCCAGCACCAAGAGCACAGGCTAGGGACCCATCTCTGGTGGTGCTGGGAACTCATGGGGATGCAGCCCCCGGCCTCCCACTGCCCCTTACCAAAACATCCTCTCAGCCTCTCCATCACAGCAGGATCACCCCAGAATCTCTCTCCGGGTCCTCCTCCTGTGGCCGCCGAGAGGCAATGGGCCACCTGCCCTCACCGCAGCACTTATAAGGCACCCAGCCATTGTGACCTCGCTGAGGGGCCTCGCGCCTCACAGAGGGTTGCCACAGATACGGGGACACGTCACAGGGCAGGGCCGGAGGTGGCAGCGCTGCTCCCCTCCGTGCCTTTGCCTGATTGTCTCCAAAGAAAGAAGTTTCTGTGCACCATGAGACAGTGTTTGTCTGGAAAAAGGTCCGGAGCAGGGCTGGGACGAGCCCCTGCCCCAAGGGCACAGAGGGTCTCTCACATGGAGACCCGTCCTCCATGGTCTCCAGCCTCTCACACAGCTCCTTGAAGTCAGGCACTTGGAGCACCACTCTCCCAGTCCTCGTCAGGCCACAAGCTGTGAGAGAAGGGAGTCCTGGTTAGGGGAACTGAATCTCTGCACCCAGACACGCACAGAGGGGGATGGGGAGCAAAGGCCAGGGCCCTCCCAACCCTCCCGTGGCACGATGCCACCAGCCCGGCTCCGTGACTGACACATCCCGGGCCGCAAAGAGCCCTCCTTCCTTCCCTTGGAGCTGTTTTGGGGCAGTGGGGCCACAGGCAGCAGCCACAGGCCTCCGCTCCCAGCTGCTGCGTCCCCAGGTCCTCCCCACAAATTCCTCAGCGCAGACAGCACAGATGCTGCTCACTGAGGAGGGGGCAGGAGCTCACTTCCAGCTGATTTCAGCTGGAGAAGCAGGCTATTCTTCTGAAGGCCTCACCCAAGCCATTCGCCATCAGCTTTCCAAGTATTTCTGCCAGCGCCAACATGCTCTCCGCAGCCACCTCTGGATAGTTCACCTTCTCCATTTCACGCCCCAGTGCTTCCATGGTCTGCCTCATGTGCCTTCGAAACTGCGAAGCCAAAGATGCGCACAAGCTGCTCGCGGCTGCTGCCCGCAATGCCCACTCTTTCTCTCCACTTCTGTTTCGCAAGGGGGTGCAGCTGCGGCACAACCCCGTGACGAATGGCACTGGCACGTTTGGCAGGAGGTTTCCCCACAGGCTGCGTGCTGAGCTTGGAGAGCAGGCTGGCCATAGGGAAGCCCCCACTGAGGAAAAGGCTGAGGTGCTTAATGCCTTCTTTGCCTCAGTCTTCAGCGACAAGACCAGTGGTTCTCTTGGGTACCCAGCCCTCTGACTTTGTGGCAGGGGATGGGGAGCAGAATGTGGCCCTCATAATCCACAAGGAAATGGTTGGCGACCTGCTACGGCACTTAGATGTATGGAAGTCAAAGGGGCCAGATAGGATCCACCTGAGGGTACTGAGAGAACTGGCAGAAGAGCTGGCCAAGTCGCTTCCCATCACTTAGCAGCAGTCCTGGCTATCAGGGGAGGTCCCAGCTGACTGGCGGCTAGCAAATGTGACGCCCATCTACAAGAAGGGCCGGAGGGCAGACCCGCGGAACTATAGGCCTGTCAGTGTGACCTCAGTGCTGGGGAAGCTCATGGAGCAGATTATCTTGAGTGTCATCACACGGCGCTTAAAGGGCAAGCAGGCCCAGATCAGGCCCAGTCAGCATGGGTTTATGAAAGGCAGGTCCTGCTTGGCGAACCTGATCTCCGGCTATGACAAAGTGACGCGCTTAGTGGACGAGGGAAAGGCTGTGGCTGTGGTCTATCTCGACTTCAGTAAGGCTTTTGACGCCATTTCCCACAGCATTCTCCTCCAGAAACTGGCTGCTCATGGCTTGGACTGGTGTACGCTTCGTTGGGCTAAAATCTAGCTGAATAGCCCAGCCCAAAGAGTCGTGGTGAATGGAGTGAATCCAGTTGGAGGCCGGTCACTAGTGGTGACCCCAGGGCTCGGTGGCTGAGTCACCATCCCTGGAGGTCTTTAAAAGATGTTTAGATGTAGAGCTATGTGATATGGTTTAGTGGAGGACTGGTCAGTGTTAGGTCAGAGGTTGGACTAGGTGCTCTTGGAGCTCTCTTCCAACCCAGATGATTCTGTGAGCGTGTGATTAAACTTTGCTTGCCTTGACAAGCCAACGGAACGAACTGCTGAGCCACCTGTGCTAAGTGTCACGGGGCTGGCAGCCCTCAGACCACGGGGAACCGCAGCCTTGGGTGTCAGACTCCTTTCTTCTGGTGACGAAGGGAAAAGCTGAGGCAGAAGCGGCCATCTCACAGCCGTAACGCCCACGTAACGACTGTCACCGCCACCTAACGGCCATGTAACGGTCTCCTCGGGAAGGGCGCTGAGGGGCTGCCTCACACCCGCCAGGCGGAGCCGTGCAGGTGGCAGCTGCGCGGCGAGGCCCGGCCCCTGTTCCTGATCCCGGCCCCCTGTGTCACGACGGTCGGTCTTCATCTTGGTGCTGTGCTCGCACGTGGTGTGAACGCTGACCGGCTGCGTTGTGCGTGTCATTAGCTGCCTGCAGGGAATTACAGCTGGGGCTTGTCCAAACAGCCTGGGCAACTCGATGGCTGTCAGAGCTGAAATGTGAATGCCCCAGCTGCCCCAACTGTGCACTGTATACATAGTAACACAGGCCGTCTGGCCTGGCCGAGGGCTTGGCCCCAAAGCAGCCGCTGGGTTGGGTTTCTGAGCCGGAGTACACTGGCACTGGGCTCGATTCCCAGCCCCCAAAACGCGCTGCTTACTCTCCGTGTGCGAGCGCCCAAAGTGGACAAATGAGCCTGGCTGAGCCCACAAAACACAGCAGCTGGTCTCCCTTTTCAAGCCGCCCACAGCTGCCCAACGAGCCTCCTCTAAAGGCCGAAACCCACAGGACTCTGCCTGCATTGCTGAGCCTGAAAACCAGCCAAACAAGGCTCATTTTGAGCCCCCCAGAGACAGCTGATGACTTCATCTCCACATTGGGCCCCCAAACCAGTGCACAGAGACTGGTGTTGAGCTACAGCGTGCAACATTTCACCTCTGTTTTCCTGCCCCAGCCCAGTTTCCCCAGCTGCCTTCCCAGCCGCCTTCAGCTGCCCCCGTTTTGCTTTTCTTTCTGCCCCAGGCCGTGTTTGTGTAGTCCATAGGTTCGTGCCCGCGCCAATAGGCACACCGAGTCAGAATCCACACGAAGGCCCTTTAATTCAATAAGGAATCCTATAACTCTGCAGAGTCAGGTGCTTGGCGATCTTTCTCAAAGCAAGCACGCCTCTGACTCCAATCACCATAATCTGTACGCAGCAAACTTGTGAAAACCCTCTCTTTGGTTACTTTTGATTGGCTATCTTAGCTCACCTAAGCTATCTCCACTGAGTTTGCTCATGACAAAGGAGCAGCGGTGGAGGGAGGGACACCAAATCCCACATTAACATATGTTAATGCCCCTTTACGAGCAAAAGGTAACTCTAGTCAGAAAACCAGTCTGGAGCTGGCTTTCTCCTTCTTCTTTTGACCCTTTTATCCCTTACCTTCCTTGCTTCTGCTAGCTCAAGGCTACCTGTCTCTTTCTTTCGGCTGAAAGACTACACAAGCTACAGGCCTCCCAGTTTTCTTCAAGGTTTTCTTGTTTTTCCCAGCCTTGTGACTACATTTGGACATGGATGGGGGTGATCAGAGTACTGGTGCTTTGGCCATGACCCTCCCCATCCCACCAGTGCTGAGAGGCTTGCACAGGCAGCGCTGCCCGGCCCCAGCTCCCACCAACACCACCCTGGGAAGGACCCGGTCTGCACCCGCTGTGCTCTCTGGACTTTTATTCAGGCCTCTAAAAGCTCGGGGATGTCTTCTGTGTCCCCCGAGAGATCTTCTGCATGCTCTGGGATGTCTTCAGCATGCGTTGTGCTCTCTTGGTGCTCCACGCTGGCTTCTGTAGTGTGGGGAAGAAGAGGCAGTGTCAAGATATGGCCCCTGGCCGTGCCCTCCTGGGCACCGTAGGGAAGGCGGCTGGGGCAGCGCTTGGCAGCCCTTGGGCCGCCCCGGTGGGAGCGGAGCAGAGAGCTCGGTCCCGGCTCTCACCAAGGACGTGGAGAGTGGCATCTGTGAAGCGCGTCTCCTGTGGTGACTCCTGCTGGTGCTTCAGTTTCTTCAGCAGCTCGGGAGCAGCTGTCTCCTGGGGGAGAGCAGGGAGGTGTGAATTCTGCTTGGGCCACAGAGGCCTCGTTGCCGAGCCCTCCGACTCCCATGGCCCCAGCATCCCCCCGGGACAGGGCTCACTCACCAGGTAAGAGTAGACATCGCGCTGCAGCTCTGCCCCACTGCACCCGATGGAATTCATGACGACCACCTGCAGCCCCTTTGGCTCAACAAAAGGAGCACAGCTGTAGAGGGCTGTCTTGCAAGCCTGGAAAAGAGCATTGTGCTTGGTCATTCCTTCTCCTATGCCCAGGAGGCAGCTCCTCAGGGAGCCTTTCTGTGGGATTGCAAAGACGCTCAAGGGGTCCTTACGGTGGATACTGCATAGCTGGGGTCCTGGAGGTGCAGGAAGAGTCTGCCCAACGTCTGCTCCACTTCTGCTCTGAAGAACGTGGTGAGATCGCCCTTGGCGCCAGCAGCCAGGGCCGCGTAGAGATGGAAGGCCGCAAAACGAAGCTCCTTTTGCTCCTGCAACCCAGAAAGCCATCTGTGAGCTGGGTTATGAAGGTACCTCCTCCCAGCCTGCTGGGCCCCAGCAGCTGGTTGCCTGCAGGAGCACCTCCACGCAGCACAGGCAGGCCCCCGCCCACCCCACACCCCTCGGACAAGTGGCAGAAAAGTAGGTTCACTCACGGCATCGAAGAACTTCCTGGTGGAGCGGGCGATGCTTTTGAAGGCCATGCCCGAGCCCTTCGCCGTCTGATTTGCAAATATTTCTTCCAGGGCCAACATGCTCTCCGCAGCCACCCCAGGACAGTCCACCTTCTCCATTTCACGCCCCAGTGCTTCCATGATGTTCCTCTTGTGCCTTCGAAACTGCAAAGCCAAAGATGCGCACAAGCTGCTCGCGGCTGCTGCCCGCAATGCCCACCCTTTCTCCCCACTGCTGTTTCGCAAGGGGGTGCAGCTGCGGCACAACCCCGTGACGAACGGCACTGGCACGTTTGGCAAGAGGTTTCCCCGCAGGCTGCGTGCTGAGCTTGGAGAGCAGCCTGGCTGTTGGGAAGCCCCCATCTGCCTGTGCTGCTCTGCCCCAGGCTCCCCAACTGCCCTGCAGCCCTGCCCGGCTCTCTGCTGGGGGGCTGCAGCCAGAGCAGAGGGAAGTGCACCTCACCTTCTTGGGCAAGCCACTGACAGCACGGCCCAGGCCTCTCGCTGCCATCTGCTTCACAGCACGGCTCGGACTCTTCAGCTTCTCCAGGAAGACCCACACCAGGGGCTTCAGGAGATGCTTCCCCTCAGCTGGCGGGTCCTTCACCACCTACAAGACAGCCAAAGCTCTGTCAGTGCCGAGAAGGGACCTGGGCTGGTCTCTTCCATGAAGAGACACCCCAAGCAGCAGTTTCTTTGGAAAAGCCCTCTGAGCCCGCCCTTCCCCACGCGCCGCCTCACCTCTGCGAAGAAAGCCAGCGCCGTGAGTTGCAGGTTTTGCGAGGGGGAGTGCAGCCACAGCATGAAGCTGTTTATCAGCAAACGTGAGACGAGCTGGGCACGGAGCAGCACTCTGCACAGAGAGCACAAGCAGGTGACGTGGTCAGGTGGGAAGGCCCCGGGCCGCGGCCCAAAACGTCCCCTGCTGCGGTGCAGGCGCTGCCCTGCCTCCCAGGAGAGCTCCCCAGGCACATGGGAAGGGTCCTGCGGCTGCTTCCCGGGGGGAGGGTGAGATGCAGCACTGGGCTCTCACCTGGTCAGGAGCTGCACGGCGTTGCAGTGCCACTGAGGCACGTCCAGGGACGGCCACACTCGATGATTCCAGAGCACCCGCTGCCACCTCTCGTCCAGGAGTCTTCCCAGCACTTGTTCCAGAGCAGCGCTGTAGGGTTCTGGCGAACGAAAACCCACAGAAAACCCTCAGAAATTTCCACACCTGGGAAACAGGGCAGCCCTTTGGCTCCCTCAGCATCACGAACAAATGTGCCTGGCTGGGGAACTGAAGCCCCCCGTTCTCTGCCCCTGCTGCTCCTTACCCGCACACCAGCTCCTCTTCTTCCGTTTCCTTGAAGATTTCTGCCGGAAGACTCAGGGGGGAAACAGCACCAGTGTTCCCAGTTCAATGCTGACCCACTTCAGGAGGACGGGAAGGAGGCAAAGAAGCACGTCCCGGGTTTCCCTCGTGGTCAGCAGAGCAGACATCACCTCACAGATGGGCACAGAGGAGCTGCAGGAAACATTTGAGCCAAAACAACCTGGTTAAACACCGCCTTTCCCACCAGCCCGGTGGTGCCCTGTCCCCCTGGGGGACTCTTCCTGCTGCCAAGTCTCACACCTTGGGTGACCCCCAACTCCCGCACCCTGCTTAGCTAAGTGAGAAAGCAGGTGGGAAGCTGTAGAGATGCTCCTGCCGACGAGCATACCTTGAGAGGATCCAGCGGTTGAGCAGCAACCGTGAGCCGACCACCTGGCTTCAGATGCCTCGTTCAGTCTCCAAATTAAGTGATACAGCACCTTAGGCCCGAGGTCGCTGCTGCCCAGGCTCCTCCAGAGCTGCTCGTCTCTGCAAGCAAACAGACGTTCACCTGTGAGCCCTGTCCTCTGGGACCCCTGGTGCCCTCCCTCCCCAGAGGCCAAACGCTCTCCTCGCCAGCAGCAGGGCACACGATGCCTGCTTCCCCAGAGACATGAGCGCCCGATCTC